CGCCGCTCTTGCGCCCTCCGCGACCACTGTTTCAGTTTCCCCGGAGCAGGCGGGTACGACCATATACTGTTATATTGTAAAATGTCGCCTCTCATTTGAGACTCATTTGGATTTTAATTCGGATAAGTGTTTATTTTTAAAAGAATGCTCTTTATTTTTATTTTTTTTTGTTTTGTTTCAGAAGTATAAAAAATCATTTATGCAAGATTGTTAGTAAGGCAAAGTAGGGTAGTATAAAAAGTCGCGTAGTGCGGGGGGGGGCGGTGCTAGGTCAAGTTTTGTTAAGTTTGAAGATGATTATATAGCTTTAAATGTAAGTAGAGTAATGTTTTATATCTCTCCGATATTCAAATGCACAATTCGAACGAGTTGGCATCGTGTATGTGTGACGTCACCGACGTGACAACGTGTATTTGTCACATCACGTTACAAAAAAGAATTAACAGCATTATTATTTTTAAGCTACATTTAAATAATCGCCTAGTTTATTATCCGTGTGTTGTAGCAACATTGCAGTCGAAAATTAAAATACGGTAGTGTTTTCTTTGTAATGTTGCTGCATGGTGTTAATTGTTTTAATGAAGTAAAACAGGTCATTTCGTTACTTCATTAAAAGACTATCTGTTGCCCGCGACTTCGTCCGCGTGAAGTTTAAAAACTACATAATTTACATTCACCCCTTATTTCAGCCTATACATAGTAACAAAAATCTCTATGCAAGATTCCATGCTTCTAAGCCCAATAATTTGCTGATTTTTCGGTTACCCTTATTGTTTGTGTTTGTGATATGTTCTAAGCTATTAGTCCTATATAAAATGCTGCCAAGGACAATCTTATTCTGCATTACGTTCGCCACTTTTTCAGAGTTTAACAGAAAAGTAAAAACATTGTGATTTTTTAACGCCGCGGTCTAGAAATAAGCTTTTTATTAATAGTTCCTAAACATTAGTAATAATAAGATATACCCTATGTTACTCACAGATAAATTTCCTTTCGATTAGTGAGAGAATATTTAAAATCGCCCCAGTTGTTTTTGAGTTATTTCAATGCATACAAAAATACAAATCTTTCCTCTTTATAGTATTAATATAGATGAGACAGATGTAAAGTTAGCGACATGGACGTTGCCAGCAGACAATCTGGTGGGAGAAGGGGGAGAGAGTCTACGTGTGGTCCAATTTTTTTTGTCACGAAAAACAGGTCGTTTTTAAGTTATCTTTGTATTGTTTGTATTTATTTTACAATTTCCGATTTTCTAATGAGAGGTGGCCCCCTCCTCCTGGCGACACACAACTGTGCCGTCATAGATTTTGATGTGCAATAGTCGACTTCGTTTACGGTATCCCACAGTTAAACTACAAGTGCCTTGTTCCTCGAAATTAACCCAACTCCCCTTCCTACAAATAATCCATTAGGCAGAAACCTCTGACTATTGTGTAGAGTAAAATTCTCGTTTGTTTCATTTACGGAACAGCCGGAACTGCGGCCGGACGCTCCTCGTGTTCGTGACAGAATATTTAAGTTTCTACGATACTATTGTCTATAGTTTATTTGTAACATTAGGGTTAAGCGAAGCATTAGATCTATTTTCTCTACCGAGAGTAGATTTCCTACTCAACAAAACTATTGTTAGCTTTGTCAGAATGTTGAGCGAGTACACTTGAAGTGTACAGTTTGTTGCAGCTGTGAATAAAGAAATATTGTTTATGTATTTGTTTTATTATATTTTATTCTACGAGTGGCAACTGGGAGCTGCACCGGACGTGATATCGGCAGATTAATCTATTTTACCCTGGTTGAGAATATTTGTCATCGAGTTTATCTGTTTTTAAAAACTGGTCATGTTCTACATAAGAGCTCACAAAAATCTATCCTTACCCCTCACATGCTAAAACATTATCTTCAGATCGTTTTATCTTCCGTCATCTCTTCCTGGTATACTTATAAACATAGTATTTATAGGTTATGAGATAGAAAAAAAAACAGAATCACTTTGAGTACAGTTTTATTGATTTGAACTTCATAATTATGAATTTAAAACAATGCACATTATACAAACACATTAATAAGTAATAGCCCCTTAGCGCTTATTGTATTCAAATAATTTCATAAATAAATTGAATGTCAAATATAGGCAGTGTCGGTGGTGGAGTGCAGTGGCTGCAGGCTGCAGGCTGCAGGCAGTCCCTCTGAGAGAAGGACCGCAGCCCACTAAGTGCTTTACCACATTTGTGTATATTCAGGCTTTGGACATAAATTAAAAAGTAAAATAAACTTAATCTTTACACTAAATAGCCTTAAATATTATACAAAAATGAGCAGACTTAAGCTACCATATAAATAATAAATAGTCAGATATAAATATTGTCACAGAGAAGCTTAATGTAAAAACTACGTTTAAATGTAAGCGAGTATAATTTTGGCTTTTATAATACTGAATATGCGAGAGATTGGAGACCAGAGACGGGGGGGGGGGGCGTGGTTCACTTGGTTACTGTCTTATTTGTTACTTTATTGCTTTTTTAATATAAATGTTCCCCGTTAAGTGCAATACTAAATAAAAAGCTGCCTTGAAAACTGCTTAATGAAACGAAATAACAAGAGTTGAGAGGATATAACAAGATGTGACAGAAAGTAGAGTGTAGAGAGCAGAGAGCTAGGAGTTTCTAAGGCTGATACAATCTATGAGATAGCAAGTGTTGAGCGGATTCTGACAGCAGATAAAGTGAAGCAGAGTTATGTATAACAACCAGAAATTGATTAACACCCTCCCTACGCCTCGCTACTTGTTTATATTATTACTTAGACAATTCCATTCAAAACAATTAAGTACATATTCCCGCCTCCATTAACATTCTCAAATTCCTTCTACTTTTCTCTAGTGAATACAAAATTCCTTTCACACTTATTGATAAACATTAAAAGGCGATCGCATCCAAAATACTAGACGTATAATTACATAAAGTCATACAAAAAGTAGGCTAGCAGTCATCATATAAAAAGTGCATAAACAATGTTAGTGTCCCGCTGCGGGTAGCACCACTTACATATAGCGGCACGATACCTGCGCACCAAGCTGACCTTACACTAAGTGGTGGGAGGAGGGCTGCCACCGGCCGCGGGGCAGAGGCGGGCTGCCCCACCGCGACCACAGTCACAACTCAGCGGAACAGCGCCCGCGGCCTCTTCTTTGCCAACAGATGCCACGACTGACTGACGCCTGCACGTCTCTTTGGCGAAAGCCTGAAATTATTATTTACACACCTCAAACAACTGTTCTTTAGGTCAACATATGAAGCGGTAATAGTTAATTGCTTTTTACAGTACAGGTACATAGGTTACTTTACCATCAAGAAAGGCTTTATCAACTTAAGCCAAACATTGTAAATCAAATAACTTTTTGTAACTCAGTAAAAGTATTGTAGAAGGAAGATAGCTGTTCCACAAGAAGTACAAGATGAGGGAGTTGTACTCACCCATCGGGGGTGTCAGGCATGTAGGGAGACATGCGGAAGTCCCGGCTGTGCGGAGTCTCAATGCCGAATGGGCTGTACAGCTTGGCGGGACTCCGGCCCAGCAACTGTGCAGTCACACACATTTATAGTGCAAACTATTTTTTGATACAGTAACATAAAATATGTAATTTCCTACACTAATGAAAATATAATGTAACACAACATCCAATGAAATTCATACTATTTTAAATGATAAACAAATCAGTGTTATTGATGTTATTACTACTGTTATTGATAATCTTCATAAAGTAAATAAGCAGTCTATCCCAGCACGGTGCACAGCACAAATAATGTCCTCACAGAGCTGTACTGTGCACTGGCCAAACTCTAGCACACCAGCTAAGTTATAATATTATTATACAGACCCCCTTTTTCTTAGTAACTGGCGTTGAAGGACCTTTACACGGAGATCCAGCCTCCGCCAGCCGGTGTCTGCGCCTACCGCTCACTCTGAAATGCTAAAACGGAAAATCACATTTTAGTGAAATATTCGGTCTATCCAAGAATTCATACATACTTCAAATAGTCATTTTAACGCTTTATTTGATCACTCATGATACAGAAAACATTAAAAGTTTTCTCACCTGCGATAAATTGCCGAAAGTGTTGCGAACGCTTTTAAACGTTTTTGATATTTTCTCAGCGCTGGACTGGAGCGCACGACGTGAGCTCAAAAACGGCTTGGCTTTGAAAATATTACTGTTGTAACAACCATCGATGATTTTCACACTTTCGCGAGTCGGCGAATCAATAACTGAGTCGGACGAGAATGTATCTCTCATTATGATACGTTCGCGGACAAAAACTACGTTAATTGATGTGTAAATAATAAGTCTTAAGTTTTCGTCTTTTAAATGTTTGAACTCAGTCTGTGTTTAATACATAATTAATTATTAATTTTAACTCGACACATTTACATTCATTCTTTTGTTAAATGTTCGTTAAGTTAACTGATCGAGTCAAAGTTAAAAAAAAATCGTTGTACGTCAAATAAAATCATAGACAATGCAACAACAGACTGAAACGGCTTCTACTTAGCTTCTATTCTACCGATGAATTTTATATATTTTTAATATCTTGATCTCATCCCAAATAATCGATTTCCTTATTACTTTTATATACCGATAGAATTTAATGTATTATCATGTAAGGCAAGCATTAAATTATACTCGACGTAGAAACGTCTAACGAAATAATGGTTGGTAGTTCTGTAATGGATAAACTAGTTTTAATAATAAAATGTTTATTTTAATAATCGTGAACAACATAGTTTTTTTTAAGAACATAGAAACGGATTTATAAAATGTTTTCTCTTTTAGATTCACCCTGACTGGGAAGTTACCAGTTAAACAGGAATGAACTACAGTATGCCATCTTTGTGAGGGTTGCAATTTTATTTTAGGAGCTTGTGGTCTTGATTCGACTGCTATAGAATGCTATAGTTCTCATGTATACGTTATATTATTATAGAGCTTTTTATTAATTAATTTAAGCTTTTAACATTTTTCGGTATAGTACTATGATGAAATAGTTGTAAATGTGTAGGAACAGTAAAAAAAGAAAGTTAAATTTAAAATAAAGCTATTTATTAACTAATAAAAATACATTGATCTCAGGATCTTTGGTGCATGTAGTAGTCGATTACCGTCGAGAACGCGGCAAATCCAGCCGCACCAAATAAACCTGCTTTCAGTCCACCTGAAAAATTTATTTAAGTTATTAACTAAATAAAAACAACAGTTAATACACTTCATATTAAATTTCTTATTTAAAACATCTAGTGCCACTACATTCCTTTGTATGAATGAAAACTTTCCAGACAACTTGAAACAACCATAACAATAATACAACAATGTATGTAGTTGCAAAGCTAGTTTTAAGCTGGTTACAGTATTTACTCTTTAAATCCGCATATCAGAGTTTTTGCCCCATTGATGTAAGTGTGCTTTTTCTGCAGGAAAGTTTCTTTAGATGTCATGCTAAGAGATTTTACATAGAAAATATTTGCAGTTTATCTTGTTGCGCCATTCTCACCTCTCAATCCAATGAGTCCTCCGGTGACGCCTCCTGCGTACGTACCATTCTTCCAGTCAGATTTACCGCGAGCACTTTCTATGCAGCATTCAACACCTGAGAATACTGCTCCAAGAATGGCGAAGTTTTTTGCATAACTTAACATGGAACCCTTCATCTCACGTAAAATTTCTCTTGCAGTTTGATTTTGTTGTGCCATAGGGTCAGTGACGTTTGGCATCAGAGATGATGTAAACAAGCCAACAGCTGCTCCCAGCCCATAACCTGACAAAAACAAACCTATCATCAAAACACTTAATAGCTTTGTTTTCAGCTTGTTTTATGGTTAAATTAAACCGAAATACAATTTCATGCAAAGTAAGAACCTAACATCAGTTAAGTAAACTGTTTTTAAAAGCACATACCAATGATGCAACTTGTTAATGATTTGAACGGACAGCTTTCCACTGTAGCTTCTATCATCTTTTCTTCGTTTGTTTTAATTATGACTGGACCCAAAATCCTTGGAATTATAATATTTTCCCGATAGCGGTAGTTGTTGCCGATTAAATATTTTGCTAAAGCATCGTAGTCATTTTTTTCCGAAAATCTTAACAAATCGGGGTCTACGGGTGGTTTTGTGTAGGCCATCATTATTTCTGTTTACTCATATGGCCTCAAATATTAAAAATAATTTCTGTACAGGTTACTATTTGATATACAACTCCTCCACTTTGCTGTGTCTGACTGCAGGCTGTCATCTGTCAATTTTCATGTCATTGTCAGCTGTTCTGTTGAATCAAAGATTACAAAAGTTAAAGTAACCATACCGTCCTTGTGTCCCTGCGACCTTTATCATGATTTGATTATTAGGGATTGATGGAAAATCAAACAGATTTCTGCTGTGCCCGGGCAATACTTTTCCTAATAAGGATACAGTCTTTTAGTTGCCTTTCTTAATAGTTTTGAATTTTGCTAACTGAACGGACACCGCGGCAGGTCGACGGTAACCATAACCATTACATTCATTATCATTTCTGAACGATAACAACTGAAAACATGTAAAAATGCAAATGTTTTATTTGTTAACACATTATAGCAATTTACAATTTTATTTTAGGAATTAGGAAATTTATTTTGCATATATTTATAATAACGTAAATGTAATTTGATTGTGAGAACTAGAGTACAATGTCAGATTCATCATCAGAGGAAGACTTATCACGATTTCAAGATGTTGTGGATAATACATTTATTAAATCCTTCAATCCTAAGACAAGAATTGGAATAACTGGTAGGTTTAAGAACTCTAGCTCTTGTACATGTACATGACATGTAATTATAATTAGATTACGAATTCAGTGCTGACATTGTTTAATTTGTAGATCAAAAGTTGCGCTCAGAAAGATATTTAGAGGAAGCCGGTCATTACAACGATGTTAAAGTATCAAATGAGCTACAGAAGAGGATCGGTGCCAAAGTCTCGGAAATCATAAATAGAAATTTAATGTTTATTGATGTTGAAGCTCCTATACTGAAGTAAGATTAGTTGAAAGCTTATTGGTTTGTGATTACAGAGAATAAGTAAATGAGATCGGTCTACCTGCAGTTGTGACAGTCAAGAAATTAAAATATATGAAAATAATATCAATTCACAGTTGATATGTTTTCAGGAGAAAGACAGTTGAAGGTGGGGTTAAACTGTTCAGAGACTCCGAGGGCTTGTTGTCCTGCGAAGCTGTGATAGACACATCAACAGTGAGGCACAATCAATTAGCAAGAAGTAGAAGGAAAAGAAAATGCTTGATGGATGAAGAAGCATTGGATGAGATAGGTCTGCAGCTTCTGAAAACTAGATTAAAAACATAACTTTGTTGTCATAAAAATTTATTAAACATTTATGTCTTACTTTCTATAATATAAAATAGAGTTAATACTGTCAATTATTTATTTAATTAATTTCAAATAGGAAAAAGACAATCATTCAATACAAAAAAAAATCATGTTTGTTTTCAGATAAAGTAAAGAGTGTAGCAGTGAGCGGAGAACATGTTCTATTACAAGATGACACAAAGTATTGGAAGTCCCGGAGAAAAGAGAAGATATACAAATACAGGAGGAGTTCAAGTCATGGCAATGTGTTGATGGCTGCCGAGTGCAGTAACTGAATGTATATCATACATTGAAAGATAATATTTTAATAAATAATTCAGATTATCTAGGTTACTTATTTTTCTTAACTCTAAGATCTGTACATGTATTTCTCGGAAGAAAATTAGATATGTACCTTAGTAAAAAAGTGTGTAATGTGCGAATGCCACTACCATAACTACTTAATACAACTAGTTGTTTATGTAAGAAAATATCGCATCAAAAAATATAAGAAACTATCTTAATTTAAATTACAATGTTTTTGTGTTGATCACATACTGTATTGTAAGTGTAAATACAAACATCAATATTAGTTAGATTTAAAGCACTATAGAAAATTGAGGAAATGCTCGTAGATGTCGAGTATGTTGTCAAGGTAGGAGCGCAGTGCGGGGGGTGCGGCGGGCGGCGGAGGGTGCTCCCCCCGCAGCCCCCGCGCCGCGCGGTACACAAACGTCGCGTTGAAGGAGCTGCTGTAGAGCGTCGGCGGCAGCGGCGAGCCGCACATCACGTTCAGGAAGTTGATGTGCCTGAGGCAGTGCTGCAGCTGCTGCACCGCCACCAGCACGCTCTGCTCCACGTCCTCGTCTGTACCACACAAGTATGTGTCCATGAGAAGTCGCGCGGCGCTGCGCGGGCCGGCGCCCGGCGCGGCGAGCAGCGCGTGGCACAGCAGGGCCGCGTGCGTCACGCCGCGCGCCGCCGCCCCGCCGCCGAGCCGCGCCGCGTACACAAGCGCCACCACCACCAGCCTGGCATCGTCCGGTGCGCGCTCCAGCCGCCCCCACTCGGATATTCCTAATATTTCCCATAGAAAATGTTCGAATAATTTGAATGAGCCGATGTCGTTCCATCCGTTTTCAAACACGTTGCCCGAACCGTAGTTCGGTCTCCGAACTGACTGGACTATTTCAATGCTCGCCTCCGGACAGCTTTCGATGTTGACGCCCTCCGACGACTGCGGTTGTCGCGGCTCGATTTTGACAAGTATCTTCTCGTTGCAGAAGTTTGTGAGCAAGTCGAACGCGTACCTGATGATCGGCGCCGCGACAAGCAAGGGGTCGTCGTTATCGTACACTTCGACGATCCTCCAACGGTAGATGTTAATGTATGGAATGGGTATGAACTTCAAGGCGACACCTTTTTCAAACCACTCCGGATCGGCCACGCCTATGCGGCAACGGTCTCTATCCAGGAAGTATTGCGCGGCCAGGCCGCCGGATGAGCGCTTCTCAACGACATTTTCGAGCTTCCGCTCTATTTCCGACTGCAGCTTGTTGCGATCGTCCGTGGCCAGGTTGCGCGAGATGAGGGTCGCGGCGCACTGGCCCTCGTGCCCTAACCAGCGCAGGAAACTATCTATTCTTTTCGCGTACGACAGCGGCAGGTGCAATCTCCTTAGCAAATTTTCGAGGGTCTCCAAGTTAAAAACTTTCACGTCGAAGAGCGCAAGAAATGTAGCTACTTGTTTGTTGTCGATCTTATACTTAGTCAGCAACGAATTGAGCTCGTACTGGTTTGCCCGAACGGTCGAATAGTTCAAGTTGGTGTAGGGTATATACTGGATACCGGCAAAAAAATACTCCACGTTGTTAGCTAGAATCGGACAGTGCAAAGAGCGCGCCAGCGCCACGCAGTCGTCGTTGGCGGTGTAATCGCAGACTGTATACTCGAAGCCCATTTCGTCGAGCAGCTGCTTGTGGACCTCGCTCGCGAGCAGCGGTGGCGCCGGAGGCAGGTGCGCGCACGGCCTTCGGGGCATCTTGTTGTGCCCGCCTTTGAACACGAAGAGGCAGGTGATGCCGGCGCGCTGGAACGCTTGCAGCTCCCCGCGCAGGAACTCAGCGTATTTGTCGCACTCGCTACCGAATCGGAATTCTAGTTTAAAGTCCTCATATTTTGCGTAGAAAAAATTTTGTCCGTCTACGACCACCCGCCTGCCGTTCAAGTTGATTTGGCGACATGGAACTTCCTTTTCCAAAAACATTTTGCAACCTGGTATACGCATTTTCGATACCTAAAAGTGGAAAGTGAAGAAGAAGTCGAAGTACGGGGAAAATAACAGTGGTAGAGCTCGTTTTAACCATCTTCGTACGAATGGGCCGGCTCGCCCGGTGTAATACCACGACCACACAGAAGATAGGCGTGAAGTGGGCACAATTCCGCATTTCGCCTGATGGGTGTGGTGCCGGAGGCCTAATTCTAGTCCCTTTTCCTTCCCACCATTTTTCCTAAGAATAGGATGGGAAGGGAACGTGGATTTGACGGTGGAGGAGTCGCACAGAAAGAGGAAATATCCTCTGTATGTGCGTCTCCTCCTCCGTTGATTAAGGGTGGGCAACGCATCCGCTCTTGCTGGGATGGCTATTGGCAGCGGTCGCTTCGCCATTTTGGTGGATTTAGAATGCTCGTTTGCTACCTTGTGTTATATATAAAAAAACTATAGTTTGAGTTTTTATGCCAAAAGTGAAAAAATGCTGATTATTTCGGCCGGTGACCAGAGCTCGTGCTACTTCGCTTCGCTTTCGATTCAATCAATCACAATAATGAATAAAATCATAATGCAAAGATGGCATTCATATACAGAGTAGATTATTTAATGATTACATTTTTATATTAGTAAACGTGAAGGCATTGGCGACCAGTTGGACCTTGTGAGTCATCATTGTCGTCGAGTATATGCACTCTCTGGCTCCAGTTTGTGGCCAATAGTAATTGACGATAGTCAATGTGTACTCACTCAAAAATACGCGTTGTTGCTGATGCAATTTATTGTTGTGAAGTATAATAACGGTAGTCAGTATGTGCGTTCGCTCGAGAACACTTCCCAGCAGTGACGAAACAAGTAGGATATATCTCATCCCTACGCCATTCCCACACAAAGCAGGGAATTACTGGTGCCGATGGATGTTGCCATCTATAAATAAAACCCTTTCCATTATAGAGAATATGCATGTTTTTTTCTCCTTTTTTAAACGTTTCTTGTTGTAAGATAACTAAAAAAAATATTGACCTAAAAAATCAATCGTTGAGTTAAAAAATAAAATAAGATAACGATAATTTTAGTGCGAGTAAAACACGGCCAGAGTTGTCCGGAGTGGTGTTACTTGTTACTGTTACGTCACTAGCAGTAGCAGTAGTCCACATCCGCTCAAACGTCACTTCGATGTAAACAATAACAAAGTATTTGTTTTGGTTTGTATTGGTTTTCAGAGTTATTAAGAGTTCAGTTAAAAAGCGATTAAATCTAACTATAACTTTGGAAAAGTACGTGTGTTGTGGAAAAAACTTGTAATAAATAATGTTAAACCAGTAGAGCCACGAGATAATATATAATGCTGTGTTCATGAAAATGTTTTCTCGGAAATATACATGTCAAATATTTTATTATTTAATTAATCCTGAGACAAATGTTAGTGATTGCTTTTATGTATTTTTATTTAAAAGCTAGTTTTAGTATCTTTCTCAGAGTAAAATACTATAAGAGTTAATTTTTATATAAATTAGAGGAACTGTGTATTGACAACACAGAGCCGCCATAATAATATAGATAAGTCACTTGCTTCGACCAATTGCGTTGTGGTTTAGAACTTGCGAGGGAATTAAAAAAAGACACTAATGACTTTTCGTTACTAATTCATAAGTTTTTTTTATAGTAATAAAGTCTACAAAACAGGACAGAAATGAGGTTATTTTGTATTTTCACGTTTAAGTATGTTATTTGGCCCTTTGGAATACATAACAATTCTTGTAAAATCGCGTTTGGAGTTTGTATCTACGTTGCAGAAAAACAACAAAATCAAACATACAGATGATAAAGTGACAAAACAAAGGATCATAGAATACGCAGTCAGTAGAGCTCTCGTAAAAATAGCAAATCCGGGATTCCCCTAAAAAAGTGTTGCTAGCACATCCCTGCGGCAGCGCTACGACAAAAGTACTTTCTTGGTTAACATAACGAAGGATTCCCCCATCGTCAACGTGCAATAATGTTGAAACCAGTGGATGCGTTCTAAAATTGGTCAAAACATTTGTTTAGGGTGTGTGAAAAGGAATAACTTGAAAAATATTATAGTCTTTAGTTGTTTCACCTTAATGGATTTTACGTAGAACTTAAAATATTACTTTCAAGATAAATAAGATAAATAAGGTACTCAGGAACGATGTTAAAAATATTTCGGAGCTCGAGGGTTCGTAATCATGTGGCCACTGCGCCTAAGGCGGTCCACTGATCGTAGCGTCTTCAAACAGACACATTGCATATATAATACGACTAGTGTTTGTTGCTGCTGCCTGCTAAATAAAACTAGAAATATGGAACATTCAATTATTTATTTACAAGAACTAGCCTAATATAAATATGTACAAAACATCAGTATCACATTTATAACTGCTTTTGTTGCATCAGTTTCTTACACAAATGCACTTAAACTACTTTGAAGTTCAACTTACTATTGTAGTACATAAGTTTCACGGTAAGTATTGTTGCGGAAAAGACGTTTAATATCTTGTATTAAATTTTGATCTATTACTTCTTTGTTGTCTTTGATTCTTTTTAAAAAAATATTCACATCGTGTAATGAGTTACAATAAATATACACAACATTAACTAGCTTCTAATTGTACTTTTAAATTACAACGTCTTACTGCTAACACTTAAATATACAAACAGGAACAGCCCTTCAGGTTTTTGCGTACGCGGCACTCGCTGCGCCAGTGGCATACACCGTACCAGTGGTACACGCCTCGCCAGTGGCACACGCCGCGCTAGTGGCATCCTTATGAAGGAATTTATCAATTCTAGTTCGGTGAAATTTCAGCTTATAACGTTCTTAAGCTAAATTTCATGAAAAGAACTCGATTCTAAAAATCGATACATTATTATCAATATCGATTTTAGACTATCGTTAAGAATGAAAAAATCAGTTGGAAAACAATTGTCTTCTTTACCATGATCATACATATTAAATTCAATAAAAAAATTCAACAAAATTAATGCGTAACAACAGTAGCCATCAGAAATAGAAACATACAATTTCGAAAACATTGCTACAGTTATCGCAAGAATCGATTTTTCACATCGACTTCAAAACAGTACCGTCATAGCTTCACATAATCTGTGTTCTACCCGCTTATAACTTGCTATTGTCTACAGGCAGCCTACCGCCGCCGCCGCCGCCGCCGCGCGCGGGCAGCGTGCTCTCGTCCTGGCTGAAGGCGCGGTTGTCTGCGCCCTGCGCGCCGCCCCGTGCGCCGCCCCGCGCTCCGCCCCCGGCGCCGCTCTGCTCCTCCGCCGGCGCCGGCCCGTCCATCAGGAACATCGTCAGGAAGAACAGTATGCTACCTGTAAATAAACGTGCAATGTAATATAACTTTTTGTAAGCGGTACTGCGACACGGCAGAGAGCGTGTAACAGCGGCGAGCGTTACTCACTGATGCCGTAGAAGCCGGCGTAGAAGATCATGATGGCCTCCCGGTAGCCGATGGCCTTGGAGACGGGGTCGACGAGGATGGGCAGGTTGCCGCCAACGTTGTTCATGACGAAGAGAAACACGCCCACGGTCGTGGAGCGCACCGACACCGGCACGATCTCCACCAGGATCGCGAACACGATACCGAACCACATCTCGGCTGCAACACCACACATAAACTTAGGTCACTTTATTATTGCTTCAAAAATTATGTATTTCATATTGCTTGTAAGCGTTTGTACGCAGAGGTATTTGGTAACGATTAGCAGTTAATAGCTCATGGTTCCCATTATTCAAACTGTAACCCTGTTAATAGTGATAAAGCCAACTTTAGCATGTTCGCACAGCTCGGCTCGCCCCCACCAGAACTTAGAATAAAGGCGGGAAGTGGGAGCAAATCCGCATTACCTATGATGAGTGTGCGTTCTTGAGGCCTAATATTAATATTTTTTCCTTCTCACCCTTTCTTATGATATAAGGAACGGACGGCAAGGGAACGTCTATTTCAAGGGGAAAAGAGACATAGATAGGGGAAATACGTGCGTCACTTCCTCCGTCAATTAAGGGTACGCAACGCATCTGCATTTGCCGATTCCTATGAGCAGCGGTCGCATCCCTTTTTAGGCGAATTTAAGTAGTCGCTTGCTCGTTTGCCACCTTACAATAGGTAATAAAAAAACTAGTTAAAAACAGAGTAAAAGACTGACCAAAGAAGTAGGAGAAGGCGAGAGTGATCATCGCCCAGAGCGGGCCGAACACGACGGAGCCGAAGGCCGGCAGCGTGGAGATGAGCTGCGACAGCGCCAGCACCAACACGCGCGACCGCACGCCCATGCGCGCCACGAACCTACAGCGGACAGCAAGATGTAGTAGGGCTATGATGGCACGGGAGACAGAGACACGAGTTAGAGAATTATAATATGGTACACACTTGTCTGAGACGACGCCTCCGACGACGACGCCGACGGAGCCGATGCCGACGGTGACTGCAAACAGCCACCAGCCGAGGTCGACGTCGGGGAAGTAGTCTCGGTAGTACAGGTCCGCGTTATATGCGAAGCACATGCCACCTGCGGACAGTTGCAAGCGTCACTTTAGCACTGCAGTGGCGAGAGTGCGGCAAGGTGAGGGCAGTGTGAGCACCGACCGCAGTGCCGGATGGAGGCGGCCAGGCAGAGCAGCAGCACGCGCGGCTGCGCGATCACATGCCAGATCGTCACCTGCGGCATCTTCTTGCCGCTCTCCAGCGCCGCGTCCTTGCCCTTGGAGGGTGCCGCACCTGAAACATAAATGTTTTTATCATTCATAAAATAGTAACTAAGCCTTTGGGTAATTCGTCTCATTCGATACTTTGCGTCTTAACTCCAAGTTTATTATAGGTGTCGGCTGAGCCAGTTGAAATCTTCTATAACTTTAAAACCAATCGTGCTTTGCCATATTTATTTTTTTATTTTAGTCGTATAAATAATACGATCCTAACTAATTTTGTTCAGCAGCATCATCCAGCTTCATTTCTATCTTTTGATTTAAAATATCTTTTGTGTAGGTAAGTTAATGAAGATGTGTGCTGGGAGGCTGTGACCGACCTTCCTCTCCGATGGTGGTGCGCTCCGGCTCGCGCAGGGTGAGCGCCGTGAGGGCCGCGATGACGACACCCACCACGCCCGCACCGTAGTAGCACACACGCCAGCTCTGCACACCGAGCACACCATTTAACATACAAATCGTTCGTTTGTAGTTTTCTACCAAGATGGGTACAGCTTAACGCAGCGGTGACGATTATTAGGCATATAATGTTTACTCGTTACTCGTTACTTACCAGTCCCCAAGCGTTGAGGTCGGGGATGTAGCGGCCGACGGGGAAGGCGATGCCGTAGCCACCGTAGATGCCCCAGTTGAAGATGGAGAGGACGAGTGCGCGCTGATGCTCGGGGAAGAGATCGGTGAGGATGCCGGTGGCCAGGGGGTTGCAGCCCGCCTCGCCCGCCGCCATCAGCATGCGCAGTACTACCAGGTGCCAGTACTCCGTCACGCTACCCATCAGCAAGATGGCCACCACGAAGACCGCTGTGCAACCCGACAGGATGCGCGCCCTATTGAACCTGCAAGCAAATCGAACGCACACTATTATCTTCCTTCTATGGAGGGGAAGTAATCGCGTAAAACAACGAGGAAAGTGAGGTACTTGTCGGCGATGACCCCGATGATGACGCCGACGACGGTGAAGACGGCCATGAAGGCAGGCCCCGCCAGCACCTGGTAGTCGAGCCCAAGCCCGCTGTAGCCCCACTCGCAGTACCGCGTGCCATTCAGCGTCAGCGACTCGCATCTGACAGACATCGATTACAAGTTGTAGTGAAACTTAATTGAATGAAAACAATGCGTACTACTGTATAGCGCTCTGTAAATCGGTTTAGTTAAAAGTCACGGTCGTGTCAGTAAAATGTGCGTTTTTCGTCCTTGACACGTCACACATAAAATTTACTTTATGTTTCACAGTTTGTTTTTATTATTAAAATTTGAAATCATAACGTTGACCCCTATCAACCGAAAAAGCGCCCTCTCTGCCGTCTACCTCGCGAGCTCGCCGCGCCTTGTCGCCACACATCGTCGTACATTGCAGAACATTTGCGATTGTAACCACGAAGTAGTTAATTTGTCGTAATGTATCTGTGATTAATTTTTATGATTCACTCAGCTACTAAATTGTGTTGATTCATATTTATTTATTTTAAACGGACGCGACGATGACGGCACAGCTCCGAGAAGGTCGCGCACACAACATTATCCATATCGTGGGTTCCCACTGCTGAGAAACATGTGCAAAGATATTGTCATCCCTCTTGAATATGTTTTGGTGCAATGGAAACATATAATACGTTTGAAACTACAAAGACTCTTTTCAAGTTTTGTCGTGTGGTCAAGTTCAGTGTTTAAATGTTGCTATTTAGTCAATATTTTAAAGTCGCCCAATTTAGTCTTGTACATGTTTTTGTAATAATGTGTATGTATGTATGTAGACTCACATGTCGGAGGAGTTGACCTTCTCGCAGACTTGGGGCAGCTGGGCGACGTGCAGGTGTGTCGCGTTCAGCATGCAGGCCTTGTCCCCGTAGTGCAGGTACTCCGCCGTCACCTTCGACGTGGTGCCTGGACACACGCGCGAGTCATGCTACTACTTACAGAAGCTAACTCTTTCTTATCTGGGCCTCCCTAGCGCCTTCAATTTTGCCACAGTTATTAATACAGAATATTACTATCAAGTCCCAAATTGCAAATATGACCGAATATAATCAGAATGTTTGGTTTTTTTCTTAATGCTTAATTTTTAGTTCGATTTGACATGCCAATCTCTGTGAGACAGTCGTGTAGGAACGTAAACAACTTTTTGTCGACATTGGAAAGGAACTCGCAAAAAAGTAATTAACGACCTTGACTTTGTTCCTTCTAATCTTGTACATCACTATTAATTTAAAGTGTAATTAGTTATTTTTGAAAACAATGGGGGACAAAATATTATACATATGAAAAGGGATAAACGCTTTTATAAAAAAACATTCTGTTAGAATTGATTTTATTTTGTACCTGACTTGTAAATTGAGTAAAGCAAATATTATGTAATTGAAAATAATGTAACTAATTCGAAAATATGTTTCGCTCAATTCTTGTTTAAAAAAAATTGAACGAAGTCGTCGTCGTCGTCGTCCCGCGCGCCCACGCATTAGCTAGGTGGCACTGTATGAGTAGCGTGAGGGCCGAGGTCAATACTGAGCCGAGTGCTCTGCACGCCTGCCACTGGCTGACATAACATTATCGTGTTAGACGCAGTCCTCACCGATCAGGTAGTGTCCCAGCTCGCCCAGGATGTAGCCCACGGAGACCAGCCCGAGCACGTACCACTTGTAGTAGCCCTGCAGCTTCGACCAGATGCCTCCTTGGAACATTTTAATTATTCTGAAACCAAACAAAATACATTTGAAAGGTCGGCCGCAAAGCAATCTAACAATGAAATGCTAAACTAAACGACAGGTTCACGTCGTGTTGTAATAGTGTTGTTAACAACTGTGGTACTTAGCTGTTCATTTTGTCTTTGAATCTACTTAAAATCTTAATCCTAGAGTTTGGTTGATTGAATCGTAATGTAGTGCTTTCCTCTTGTCATGTCATTGTCATCGTGAAGCAACCCAGTATATGTTATTTAGATAATGAATTACGTACTGTCTCTTATCAAAACCTCGTCAACTTATAACCTGATAATTGGTGTTTTTGATCATTTGAAACCTTCGTTATTACTAAATTTTGAACAGAGATCGTATAAACGAGATCTTGAAATAACTGTGGAAGGGCCTGAAATGTGAATAATTGAAAATCCTAATAAATCTCTATATATAATCTAAACTGAAGATATTTTAGTATGAACTTGTTACGTACGGCGATGATGAGATCGGAGGCTAAGAACCTTCCTGTTTATATAATTGTCGATTGATTAATATTGTTTGTAGTGTAAGTGATACTGTAGTACTGTACACAGTCGTAGTAAAACTGTTGTATTGTAATTGTAACACAGCGTGCGGTCGCTTCACAAACAACACAATTAACACATAAATAAGTCGTTATTGTCTTTTAAATTACGAGAAAAAAAGTTGATTCAATAAGGAAGTTTTGATGCTAAGTATGTGATGATAACTGTAATTCCACATTGACGGCTTGTTATCTTTTTTTAATGTGGCAAATGCTTTAAATTCTTCAAATAATAGTACTGCAGCTGTTGCAAAATATAAGCGAAGCGGCCCAAGTTGATATTTATATAGTTTTATTGTGGTTAAAACTCAGCATGTAAGTCACACGCAGTGTTTCCTCCCGATGTGGCTGATCTTGTTATAAATCTTTAGAAGTCTTATAATCCACATTCATTCCCACGGAGTTACATAAATCATATTGCGGACTTAACAACACGGTAAGGCGGCAGCAAGCTTTTGCTATGTGCATATAAACATGCTTGGATTTTAATCCCTGATATTAAAAGGTTGGTTGGGATACATATTGTAATAAATAGATAATTAATTCATATATTTATAATGTACCAAGGTTAGCCGCGAAGGTCAATGGGGGGGAGTGGGTAGGGTCGAGCTTCCGCATATGCAAAGCGCGGCGAGCGGCAAACCTGTTGTTAATTGTCTCCCTTCACACTTATAAGATCTATGTACATATAGCACCATGCCATGACTTTGAGCGCATGGAAATAAATCTATTGAAAATCAGTACGTATTAAAACAAAAAAGTTTTTTGTTTGAAGATTTTGTTTTGTTTATTTAATTGAACACGTCGATTGGTCGCGCTTGATGTCATCGCAGAGAAAAACTGATAGAAAAAAGTAATCGGATCGCTGGAAATAGTCTCATAATAAGTTTAAGTTATAAAGTTTTTGTGAAAATAACGGTAGCTGTAACGTTTTACGCAGTATATTTTTGGTATGGTAAATTTTTGTCCAACAGTACAAATTGCATGAAACTCTGTTTAGTGGCATAGGGAATCAAAATGTCATCACAACTTGTGCAGTTGATTAGCTAAGGTATTTTACTTGTTATCAACATTCGTATGTTTGTGGTTATGCGTTTTGTATTAATATAAAATAACACGGAAAACACAATATGATAATCCTGTCACTAAGCTCAGAGTCTCTCGCGCTTGTCGGGTCCTTGTTTGCTAGCAGACGAACATAACAACTATTATGTTTTGCAATCCCTGACACGTTTAACATAATTGTGTTAAAGTAAAACATTGTACGTATTCGATACTTGTGTTGCACGCAGTTGTGCTGTCGTTTTCCTTGAAGCGATTTTGGAGCACGTGTGTGAATTGACTCGTTAAAGCCTCTGCTTGCGACGTGCGCGAGGCTTACAGTGCGGCGCGCTACGTCTGTTTTATATACCGAAATAGAACAATACTTTTTTATCCGATAGCAGTACTGGACTGTTTATTGCTCTGCTTCATTGTGGTTCTCTCGTCCAATGAAGACTTCACAGTTCGCCAGGCTATTGTTACAACATTGGGAGGCATCACGCGACGCGACTTGTTCTTAACGAAGTGCTTTGAATTTTATATGATGACCGCAAGTGGAGATTAGCCTCGTTTGTTACGAATGCATTGTTACTTGCAACATTACTACAGTCTGACAAACTATTCTAGTCCGGAGAGGAACCTGGGTGGAGCCGTTGTTGAATGTATTTGAAAATATGGAAATTCTTCTTTAACATAAGTTTTCCATTAAACTTTATAAAATCGCTCCGCTTTTTTACCTTTATGTTGAGAGCAGAGGTCATATAAAGATTTCAACGATTGTTGGTTAAGTTTTTTTTTTACATTATTGGCGTTTTATAAAACTATCACAACGATATGACGGCCGACTCGACTATAATCAGAGCTTTTAAATGTAATAAATGTCAATCGCAATTGTTAATCGAGGCAAGAGTCAATATTATTTTAAATAATATGACCTCATTCTGTCTCGATGTATATCAATAGGTCGTAATAAATAATTCATTTAAAACGTTTTTTTTTTTAGTTTAATTCTATTCATAATTTGTGGACTCTGACCTCTAAATGTTGCCCTCAGTGTGTTGCGATTTATTTCCGGCGAAACAAAAACAACAGCATGAAGCATGACATAAGAGTGAACGATCGCGGGCAGTTTGCGCGGGAAGGAATTCGCAGCGCTTTGTTTTTTTATTGTAAAAGTGAAAGTGGCCTTGAATCGAATGCAGCCGGCGGGCAGCGGGGCGCGGGGCGCGGGGCGCGGGCAGCCGCGGACTTGACCTTACGCCGCCGTAAGGTTATCAGATAATTCTTACATCATGATTTGATGAAAGTTTTGAAATAATCGTGTTGTATATGAGTTAATCACATATTTGAAAGCTAATTTGTTGTCAACTGTCTAACACGGATGAACTGAGGCCGACTCAGGTTAAGTTTTAATACATTCCGTTCCGCCAAAATTACCGTTCCGGATGTTTTTGAACTGTTACTATTAGTTACAGTTAACTAGGCACATTTTAGAATTCTGAAACGACTATAGGATACACAGTTGAAGAATAAACAAGGACTTTTCCTTGCGAAATAATCCTCAAAACAAACTAGTTTTATAATATATCTGATCTTGTTTTGTTTAAATTTAACTATCCAATGTCATGTGTTGGCTGTGGCTGTGTGCAGTTTGTATTTGTTTAAATAAAATGATTACATTACCGTACATTGTTCGATAGAAAAATGTTTACTTAGGAATAACATTCAGATTGCTTTTCAGCATATTTTACGTGTTTATTAGAGACAAATTTATATTTCAGTTATTTTGTTATAAATATAAAATTAACGTTAGTTATTTGTTGATTGATTGAAACTTGAAGTTTATGTTAAGTTTTTAAAGTTAATCCAGTCCTGAGGTACAACTTAACCTTGTGACGAAATAAGAATAGTATGACTAAGTATGTGGATTGTGGACAATAAATTCATTTTTTATTAAAGAATAATTTTATAACATGACAAGTGGGATATCCCCGGCTCTCATTAATGGCGTAAGTGGTACGGCTATCTCTTTCGCGCTTATAGTAAATCATTATTAGCGTCCCTCTCTATTGCAACAAGTAGTCGAATATAATTTCCGGGTGTTTCTGTGTAGTCAATTAAAGCCGCTGAAACATTTCCTAGCAATAAATCAATACGCGGACGTCTGTCTTGTTACAACAATCATTATCTATGTCTTTTATCTGTGATTAGTGAGCAATCATTTTCATATTAGGTCGTGACACAATATTAAATAAAAAATGCTCGTGACTCAACGCATAGTATTGAGTTGAGCGTGGAGCTTTGGCGATTGTCGTCTACGCTCAGCGGAGCGGGCGGCGGCTGAACTGTGTTGGAAGGAATATCAACATTCTTAGTACACAATAAAACATATACGATGTTAATATAAAATTGGTTGTATTTCAGAAGCTGTATCGTTGCAGCTAGTTGTTGTCAATTGAAATACTAATTGAGTGCGAGCGGCTCATCGTCGCAGCTACTGAAACTCTTAAACGATTCTTAATTACTGCGTCGTCGCCGCATTCTCATTCGTTTTATTATTCCAGTCTATCATAATGATTGTTTTTCTGAGACCGAAAAGTCACCCATGTTCTAAGATTTTGTGTGTGTATTTATAGAAGTAAAAAATGCCTTCGGGCACAGTCAGGTGTGAAAGCTACATACCTGCCATGGCTTCGACATATTAGTGTTCACCTACCCTAATATGACTCTTGTTGTCGTCTAAAACAACCTCTTCCTACGACTTTTTTTAATCCACGGAACTACCGTTAGGTGTCGCTTCGTGGGGATGGTCTCGGCAGTTATGCTTTTCTAGGACTCTGCTTTACCTAAAGGACTTAACATGAGCTGAACATAGGGTTTTGTTAAGTATCCAATGTGTAGTTGATTCCTGAGATTATGAAAAGGAAAATTTTCGTATTAAGAATACAATTGTAGGCAAGCCCCAATAGCTTACTGGTTTGTGGGACAGACTAGCGATCTTGCGGTCAAGGGTTCGAATCCTATCATCCGAATATTGTCGTGAAACATATCGTAGCACAAGCCTACAGCTTAGTTGGAATGGTTAAAGGAAATATTAGTAAATCAACAAAATCTACAAGTATTTCATAGCACTAACAATTTATAAAACTACGAGCATTCAATAATCCTTCAATTGTGATTGCGTGTTGGATGAATAGGATAATTATTGTGTACACGGAACATGGAATCGAGTAACTAAACAATAAGAACGTCACGTCCGAACAGCTCGGAGCGGCTCCTGGCTCATGGCGCATGGCTCATGGCTTATGGCTCATTACTGTTCACACAGCTATAGAACTTGACCTAAACTGGCTTCACTCCGTGTTCGTGACTTGCTGCTCGCTGCTCGCTTGATTATTGTGTATGTATTTGACATATGTGTATGTATGAGTGCGTAACATTTTTACGGAAATTATGCACAAAACATTCCTGTTCATGTTCAAGTAACTCGTGTTTATATGATATGAAATTGTCCTATGTTATCATCAACCGCCAACCGAATGATTGCTGGATAAGACACGACTCCGCGGCTCCTCACCTCACCTTCACAATTATACAAATGCAATGTTTGTACACTATCATTACTTTGTAACCGAGCTTCGTGCAATTTACATACACCAATGTCATAATTATAAAATAAATATAATTGATATAATGATTAATTAACGTAATAGCAATACAGCTCCGCGGAATAAATACTGCAGATAATCTATTGATAATTAAAGCTCCGAACTATAAAAAATAAATTGCAGTAAGGAATTAAATTCAATCGCTCGTCGCATGTATTCATTATAGTTTTATGGCTCGATATAATCTGTTCTTTTTTATTTAAATTAACTGCAACTGCCTCCGTTTATAGATTTAGCAAATTGAGTAGCATTTTAGAGTGCCAGTCTGAGTCAAGACGCTGTATGTGCAGTTAGCGTGGTACGGGTACGGCCGCAAGCCGCGCACTTGACCGGACCGCGGCCGCGACCGCGCCGATGCTATCTGCGAATTGTTGAGCGTTGAGATGGTCCTTTGTCTATTGCTCACAAGCATTGTTTCATAGGTTAAAGATCAGGCTTCCGAACATCAATTTATACAATACATTTGTATTAAAATTAATAATGGCTTCAAGTACTTTTTTTAACGACCGATTTCTGATATAATCACTTCAATTTATTAAATTGACTAATATTATATTTGGGAAAATTTAGATGGAGGGATGGATGAGTGTTTATTTGTGTTTAATGAGCGGCTCTATGCCGTCCTCTCGTTTTCCCTAAGACATTCAGTTAATGTCACAAGTATGAATGTTTGTTAGAACATAGACTGCTAGATATCGGTAAAATTTGGCTTGGATGTAGAAACCTCTGTAGCCTGTGTTCTTACAGGTTTGTTTTTAATTCCGCGCGAAAGTTAGTTTTAAACAATGATTTCAAGTTTTCGTAGCAATGTTTGAATTCCAAATCGCGCTTACAATAGTGCATGTTTTATTATTATTATAAAATATTTGTTTAATGTCCTTAATAATTAAACAAAGAGTCTGTTAGACAAAGAGTATTTGAAGTTGTTAATTATTACTAAAGCACGATCGCGGCGTGCGCGGGAGCATGCCGCATGCCGCATGCACACCACGCCAGTAGTGGACACCATGTAGTAAAGCCGCGCGCATACGAAGGCAGCGGTCACTCTACCAACAGGGTTGAACTCAAATTTCATAAAATAAAAGCTTATGCCAATATCTCGCACTCGGACTTTAGTAATTCCGGCTTTGTAGATAATTTTATTCTAATTAAACATAAACCAAATATTCTGAACCAATCTACTACATATAATAAAATTTTAGTGTCTGTTGAATACTGCGTGGACAAAGTCGCGGGCAACAGCTATTAGATTATATAAACGCACCAATAACCACCATACTTTCTTTAAAGTTATACCTCATTTTTGTTAGAGTTTCTTGGGAGGAAACTTTTATGTTTCTTTTTATATATGAAGTGTACACACTGCTTTATTACGTAGTGAGAATGTATTTGCCGTGTAATTGCGTAAGCTTTGTGTATGTATAACAGCAATGTCAGTCCCCTCCCCCTCCCTCGCCCCGCCCCCGGCTTCCGTGTACTTGATACAGATCTGTCAATCTGTTCATAATTACACATTTACGATAATTAACGACGATAATTAACGTGCTCACCTAAAAGGGCGATAGATCAATTAAATATAGATCATTAAATTTTTCTATGGAATGATTCGTTTATAATTGTTATAAGTACTTTTAAGGAGATATCTGCTATGTCGTTATGTCGCTATGTCGTTGTGTCGCTATGTCCGCGATGTTTATACGTATGTCTATATTTAGTGAATTAGGTTATTCTGTACGTGCGATCATTTCAAGGTTTCTGTTTTACAACTGTGGTGTAATGCTTTAGGAACTTCCAGAGACGTGTCGGTATGAAGTTACATCAGCCATCTAGTGCAGTAGATTGTTAACTTTTAAACCATTTACCATAATAAGGTAAATTTGACAGAACTTGCTTAAGTCTACTATCGAAATACACACAGCGTTGGGGTCCGTCGAGAGCTGTTACTCCAGAACCGGCTCCTAGCAAAGAAACCAAAGCAAATCCGGTCGTAATCGTGAGATGCAATAGTGCAAAAAAAGAACAAAAAGTGTCATAAAAACATAAGAAAGGACGTAGACAATAATATATCTTAGTACGGGGGATAAGGGTGCAAATTTGAACGCGCAGTGTCCGGTCTAAGCCTTTCCCAGGAGAGCTGGCAGGCTGCGGCACAACAAGAACAAAGCACAGATAACCTTGAACTTGACGGCCACGGCCCGGACACCGGACGCTCGCCGCCCTAGGAGCCAACACTACTCGCTGTCGGACACTCAAGTCGTTTTAAATGATAGTAACATAAATACAACTCAATAATGTTGGTATTAAGTTATCAAGATTTCTAGATATTCTCGGGAAGTTACTAAGGTAGTAAGCTTTTTAATCAAAAACTATGATTTTCATTAATTTAGTTGACATTGTAATCTTTATGTTTATTAGTTCGCTATCAATGCCGTCCAGTTAAATTATCTATAAAAATATTTGTTGAATATTTTATTACAGGCAGTATTTTGAACGGAAGTTACTTTTAATGCAAATAAGGAAAAAACTTCGATAGCGCGTAACATTACATTACTAGTTGAAGAACTACAAATTACTTATAAAATACTATTCAAATAATTTATTGATATTTTAATTGTTATCTATTCTGTAGGATTTTTTTAATTAATGGTAAATATCTTATTGTTGTTGGCGAGTTATCGTGCAGCAGGCAGCAGGCAGCAGGCAACACCGACACCGCCAGACTCACGTACAAACTTAATTAACATAACGCTGCTATAAAACTAACATATCACTAATTCTTTAAAAGACGCAAAGAGTTAATTAAAATATTACGGAATAGGAAACGTGCATGCACAGCTAACACTGATTTTGATCGCTCCTTCGTACGCTATCGAAAACCACAATTTTGCGATTTACATCTTGTAGTTTTTTCAATTAACTTGAAAAATACGTTTTCTGTGTTTTAAATGTAACGTTAGAAAGTGCAAATGTAGATTTTGTTTATCGAATGTCCATGTGTCATCGTAATTAATAATATAAATTTTCTAAGTTCTGTCTTGTAAAAGCTTTTCAAATATTCCACAATAAACGTAGATGCGATTGTTTTTTTTTAATAAACTACATTTACTAATATGATTTACTTAGATTATGTTTAAAAAATCAATCTAACGATGTATCATTCGTCACTCCTTTTAAATGTCACTTATCTTTACATAACAATTTTTATTTACAAAAACAGGAGCAGAATGTATGGTGTATCGTAATGGGTTACATGAGCAGCACAGCGGTGCGGGGGGCGGCGGGCGGCGGCCAGGTGCGCTCGGCGCGCGCCCGCACACGAAACAATAACGATCTAAGATAACGGCTTATTGTGTTTAAGTTTAACTCGATCCTATCAATAACTTTACTATTATCTAAATAAAGAGATAAAGTTAATAGGCGTTCAAAACACAAGATACTAGTAATTTTTTTATATCAACGCTTAGATCCTGTTAATTTAAAATATCAATTGTTGGTCCATTCGCTACGCTACCGGCTTACTTAATGCGTTTATGTACAGAAAAAGTTATTGACGTCCGTCCATTGGTTTATATATTTGTAGTAAACTTTTTTGTTAAATAGTGATGTCTACCAAAATGTATTTGGCTTTTAAACTAGTTTCGCAATTTGTTAACAGAGTTTACTATAAACACTATGCTCAGAGTCTAAGGTTTTCGATAAGCAGAGCTTAGGCTAAGTTAGGATTCGAAAAACCTAAAAATCCTTTGTATCACAATTTGGAAAAAGAGTCGCATAATTTATTGCTATTTTTGAGCTATCATAAAAATAGCAATAAATTTCAATTTTCTATTTGAAATCTTAATACTAGCGTATAACACGAAGAAAATTGAAAATATTCAGAAGAGATGCTTATTACTTGTATCCTTTCTTGAAGTGAATAGGGTTGTGCATCACCAGAGGCGCTTTGTGAGATAATATTTCTGTAGAAGGCAGTTTTTTACCTTGTAACATTTTATTGCAATGTATTTTTGTTTAAGTAGTTGTGGATCACAATATTGTTTGTACATTACATTAGCGAGTCCGTGCGATGCAAAGCTCCCATAACTGTAGCACATTCATTAAGCCAAAGTTATGCGTAACCTATTGTAAATCAAGAGTATAATGCTTCTTTGTAAGATCAAGGTTTTTTAAAATAACCACAGACTGAAGCTAAGGTTTGGATAGAAATCGTTTTAACAAATAATACTCTATTTCTAATTTGGTTGAAAGTCTAAACCTATAATAACGCAAGAATGTCCGAGGGTAGAGACAAAGGAGAGCGGCCAAGCTGGTGGAGCTTTGATTATATAAAGCCAGTATAAACCTTGCCTTCGAGTCAGACACAATAAAACAACCAACTTTAAATCTATCAAGTTAACCAGCAATTTAGCACCGAACCGGTTGTCCTAAGTATTTTGCGGAAATCTGGCGCAGATACGAAAGCTCTATCAGTTTGATGCATTTTTGCAATATCATGTCTGATATGTATAAATTAAATAAAGTTTGATTAAAATAACTTACCCAAAGATTGCTTTGCCGAATAACGGGAAATAACAGCTAGCGCTTTAACACCTAAATTCCGCCAAAATAGTGCGCGGAAATCAAATGTAACGCACGCGTTCGACTCGACTGCAAAGTTCAGACTTCGAGTTGATCGCGGGCTCGGAATCGTCGGCTCACTGCAACCTCTAGAGTGGTCCACTAGGTTGCGTGCGCGTGCGCGTGCTGCTATCGCGCGGGCTCTACTGCGCCGGCCGCGGCTCCTGCCAACCTTGAAAGCTACTGAAAGCACCGCCAGTACCTCCGCCGCCGCCCGCCTTTGCCATTCCTCTACCAATTAACTAGATCCAATGCCATTATTCTAATTTATTCCGGTGACAAGATCCTTCGCGTGCTTTTTGTCGCGAGATCTCGGAATCGGAAAAAATTAGGCCGCCATTGTGTTTGTCAACCTCCGCGGAGGATTACACGCGCCTCATGTATATAAATGATTTTTTCTAGGCTACACTTTTATAAAATAAACCATTTAATGGAAATATACGACAGTCGATTATTTAAATTTTATGCAAAAGAAAAACGGTTGTTATCGTTCATATTACGACGCAAAAAAGCAAAGGCCAGGGGTTATAAACCACGATTGAAAGCTTTGTTAAATAAATGATTGAAATAAAGTCATATTCTCGGTGCAGATTTAACTCCGTAGAGTAATGGATAGGTACGTGGGGAAGTTCTTTGTACAAATTGGTGAGTTTAACATACTGAAGTTAGTTAACACACCTAGTTTCTACTGTCTGTCATTTTTGTGTAAATAGATTGAGACTGGTGGCGATAAAATTGCTTAGACAATTCCAGATGGAAATAAAAAAAAAATCTTTTTCATTTACTTAATAAGATCGAATAGTAAATAAAGGGCAGTTTGTGCTATTGTCGCAGCAGAGCACAACACAGCGGTAGACAAAATGATAAATTAGTGAGGATTACAGGGAACTCAATGTAAAGAACCCAACGAAGTTTTAACAATAGAAGTGTTTATGTAAAGAAGGTAGATAATGCGGGTCGGTTGCGGGCCGCGGCGGGCGGCACGCGACGCCCCTGTCTGATGGACGTCCAGCACGCACGACATTGACGAAAGAATAATGTGCAAATGTAGTTAAATATATAATTAAGCAATAGAAGAGTATCATGTACAATTTGAACTCTTTTATATGTTTAGTTTTATTTAGTAAACCACAAGACAGATAAACAAAATTTCTTGCGTAAATGTAAATTGTAAACATTTAACAATTTAAAGAGATATCAATTCTGACAATCCTGTTAGCGTAGAAGTCGTATGTTTTATCGTAAGTTTTATACATAATAAATAAATTGATTGTCTATGATCATGTTAATATAATAACATGGATGTCTTATCTGTATGTACAGTGAACAGTGATGCAGCGCTGAGTCAGCGCGAGGTCAGATCACTTTGATACATAAATGTCGGTCCTACTCAATCAATATAGCCTCTACTCATACTCTACTCTTACTCACCAGCTCGCCAGCCTTTTACTCAATGTTAGCTATCAAATTAAAACTTAGTGTTAGAATTCAACACTAACTGTCGTAGTCTGAGTTATTAAATGGCTTTCCTTATTATATTTTTAAAATGTCTTTCATAAAGACAAATTACTTTTTTAAGGAATTCAAAAAAGACCGTTGGAGCAACAATTGAATGAAAGTCATCTTCGTTCATTCCAGAGATCTGTTACAGATTTTTGTAGGTTATTTTATATATTTAGTTGCTTTATTTAATGTAAAAACATGAAGCCTATTTCATAGAATCATAATAAAAAATTACAATAAATTAAATACTTGTTCAATGCCAATGGAAATAATCTTTACGTCGAGTCGCTTATTTGTTGCACGAAGTTACGGCGCAGCGTCGGCAGAACTGCGACAAGCGCCGTGAGACAATAACTTGATAAATACCAATGAGTCAGAAAAAAACAAAAATAAAAGAGATAAAATACAAATATTTCCACTGCACAGGGTATACGCAGTACTTGATTGCTTTTTATTTTTATTTTAAACTAGGATTTGTACGCAAATGACTCGGGTTTCCCCCCAGCGTGGGAAATGGGCACGCAATGGGCCAGATTCCTTGCCCTTGCTCTACACACTGACATCAACAACGGAATATTCTGACATTATGTTCATGTTTATTTTCATTTGAATTAAAAAACATCACGGCCATTTTCTAGTGGAACAAGCAGAGAATGTTTAGTTTAATGTTACGCAATAGCGATACAAGACATTATTCATGTTTTCAATAAGTTTGTAGTTAAAATAAGAAATACAACTTTAATTTTACGGTTTGCATGAGACCAATTATTTAATTTAATTAAAAATAATACGACTCATACTTTAATTATAATGTTGTCGTCTAACATTTAATTACGCGTAATAAAAAGAATGTTAAATTGTCAGTTATGCCACGAAAAAAATCAAGGTTAGAATATAATTATTATGTCATCTTTAGTATATCTAAACAAGTTCGTTATAACAAACTATATATTTAATTTAGACGCTTATTTTTTTAACATGTAATGTCTTACCATAAAAATTTTGATGTGATATTTCAAACATATGTCAACCCTTTCATACCGCCACTGGTGCCCGCCGCGGATTTTTGACTAATCAAGTTTATTGAAAAATTATCATAGGTAGGATTACGAAATACAATCTAAACTAAATCTAACAGATACCCTTGTGTGTTTGTCTTGCTTCTGCTGTCCCACAGGGTTGCCTGGAAGAGATCGTAGCGATAAGGTCGCCTTAGCGCAATTCTAGTAATGACTTAATTTAAGCTTTGTTGTTTAATTTGTGCTAAAGAATTAAATAAGTAAATAAAACCATAATAAAGTACTTATACTAAAGTAGTGTTTTGACACATATTTACAGTGAAAAATGTTACCATGATGTCCATAACACCAATCAGTATCAAAGAGTTAAAACACGTAGTTTACTAAACAGTGCCTAACTTTATGTTTTGGGATAATACTAATTATTTAAACTATGTTAAAGGAAATGATTAATAAATTGCTTAGTTAACTCGTAAAAAAGAATAAAAAGTGGTTAATGGCGTAGAGGAGAGAGAAGGGGTCAGTGCGTGCCCCGGGTGGCGGGAGGCGGGTGGCGGCACGCAGCGCTGGAAGGGATTGATCGACAGAGCGTAAGCCCACAGCCCCCTCGATAGTACCTTTTATCTTTATTTTCAATAAACATGGGGACATTGAAAAATATCGGCATTCAATTTTTGTTCTTATTTTATTGTTATTTATTTTAGGAATACTTCACAGTTTGCAAGAAACGTTTACTTTGTGACTGCGAGCGATCTTTATATTAAGTTAAGTTAAATGACTTTACAAGTTCAATAAGGAAACGTTGCAGTAACTATAATCTTGAAACTATTATAAAACACATACAAAAAAATGTTAACGGAGTCGCGCTGCGCAGCAAAAAATATGAGAAGATCAATCAAGATTTGTGTTTACATTTTTTTATGAAAACAGAAATGTACAAGACACGTGAACTGCAGCTCGTGTTTAACGAAGTTTAAATTCACAACTAATGTAATTAAATTCAACACAATGTGACAAGAAAATGTAAAAATACTTAAGCCTGCAACACACCTTCAGTTTTAACTGTGCAGGTCCACTGTTCAATTGAAACTGAAAGTGTGTAGCGCCCTTAAAAAGTACTGTGCTGAGGTTGGTTTTAGCCGATCGCAGTAGGAGCTAGTTAATAAATAATCTCACAAAAAATATCCGAACGTGATGCAGTTGTACAGAATTGTCAGACGCCATGCGACGCTACAGCTACGTATGTATCATCATCATCATCATCATCATCAACAGCCTTCACCTGCCCAATGCTGGACATAGGCCTTTCCCAATGCCTTCCACAGAATGCGGCCCTTCGCCTTCCGCATCCAACGACTTCCCGCCGTGCGCACTAAGTCGTCGGTCCACTAGGGTGGAGGACGCCCTACGCTTCTGGTCTCCTTTCGCGGCCTCCATGTATTACGTATGTATGTACATTTATTTTAATTATACCTTAATATCGATGCTATATACCACGCTTATCTCACCAATATTATAAATGCGAAAGTTTAGATAGATAGATGTTTGTTAGAGTTTGTAGCCTAAACGGCTGAACGGATCTCGATGAAATTTGGTATAGATGTAGAGGATAGTCTGGAAGAACACATAGGCTACTCACTTTTGTTTTTTTATTTTCACGCGGACCGAGTCACGGGCGAAAGCTAGTATTTTATACATCATGTTTGACAATAACATAACAATTCTTTGTAGTTAACAAAATCTGTTTTGACATCCAATTTGTGTTTTCTACTGTTCGCGGAAAACCCGACGTCAACACAATATTCAAATGTCACTCGGTGCAACATACAAGATACTATAAACTACTTAATTGCTGCAAAATATTCTCAAATTAGTGCCGAATGTAATCAATTAAATGACTCTGAAAATGAATATCCATTTGTTTATTTCAGAATGTGCGAACTTACCGTACGTAGTGAGGAACACGCCGCAGTTGTACTTACCCCGCGGTCCGCACTGTCGCGGTCATGTTTAGAAGAAAAATATTCCATAATTAAAATAATATACGGGGTACAACTACCAAAACACAAGGAAAACCACACGTTAACTGGCGTTTTACTTCTTTTTTTATTAGCAATAGAAAAGGTTGTGGTATTTACCGCGGAAACCAGTTAAAAATATTGTTGGAAACAGCTTACGTATTTTTTAATTATTGGTCTTTGTTTTAAAACTATTCCATTGTACATTGAGTTATAATACAGCATGAGGGGGCCCTAAGGGCCTCGGATCCTACACTAAAGTTAAGGGTGACAAGGAATAGTCAACCACGCTGGCCCACTGCGGGTTGCCTGCACATAAGTACCTTTGAATTTCTTTGTAGATATTAGCCGGTGTTTTCCTCCATGGTGAAATTTAACATAGATGTTAGTATAGATAACACATAGGCTACTTACTTTGTTTTTTTTTTAATTCCACGCGGACGGAGTAGCGGGCAAAAATTAGTTATCCATAAAATTCTATATAACCTCGACATTTACCTAAACAAATCAAATCTTAACAAGAATTTAAAAACGTCGAAGTTATTGCAAAGAAATATTGCACGTTTTTAGATATTTTATACAAATGATAAAACAAGTTTAAAATCACATGATCGCTTTA